GACAGTTTAGGGCATACTGGGAGACATTGACCCAAATGTTCATACAGTGTTTTGAAAGGCTGGAGATTTTCTTATTTTATTGAGCAAGGGAATAATTTGATTATGCAAAGGGCCTTGGAAACAGCACGGTGGCTTTTTAATATGAGTAATAAAGACAATAAGAGTGCAACCACTTATTGAGTGCTTCATGATGTGCTGTGCACTGCAAATTGCTATATGTGCATTAATGTTTTAATTGATACAGTAACCCCCAAGCACAAATATTAATTCTATTTCACAGAGGGTAAACATGAAATTTAAAAGATGAAAGGGGCCAGATGGTGGTACAGTGGCAAAACACAACTCTGCAAGGCTGACTGACATGGAAAAGTTCTGAGTTTGAATGCAGAGACCTCTCTGAGTACATGGGGTATGCATGTACTCATGATGCAGGGCTAGCTGAAGGCAGTGAGTGTATCAGAGCATCAAGATCCTAGTGGGATGGGAACCAGCAGTTAGCGTAATGGCTATGTCGCTGGACTCCCACATAATCGACCGTGGTTTGCGACCCGGACCCGGTGGCTTAGAACTCACGCCGGGTGCATGTGCATGCGTGCCCAAGATCGCGAGAGGAGAATGGAGGAGAAGGGATTGCTGTGTGACCATCCCCCCCAGGGGGTGATTTCTCGCTTTCTGTCTCTATGTCTCTCTCTGTCTGTCTGGCGAGCACACGCGCCCTGTAGTGAAAACCTCTCAAAAAAAAAAAAAAAAAAAAAGATCCTAGTGGGATGGACCAGCGGTTAGTGTAATGAGTATATCGCTGGACTCCCATGTAGCTTACCGCAGTCCAAGTCCTGGACCTGGTGGCTTAAACTCACGCTGGGCGCGTGTGTGTGCGTGCCCAAGATCCCAAGAGGAGAATGGAGGAGAAAGGATTGTGGCATGGCCATCCCCCCTTGGGGGTGATTTTTCACTTTCTGTCTCTCTGCCTCTCTCTGCCTTTCTGGCGAGCACATGCACCCTATAGCAAAAACCTCTCCAAAAAAATTAAAAAATGAAGACTGTAGTGGGAGTGCTGTCTCTCTGTCTCTCTCTCTCTCTTGCTCCTAAAAGAAAAAAATAAAGCAAACCTAAAGTTTATAAAATTAGAAGTCTCATAGGACCAACAGATGGTATACTGGTTACGTTGCTGGATTCCCATGTGGTCAACCATGGTTCAAGTCCCGGACCCGGCAGCTGAAAACTCATGCTGGGCATGTGTATGTGCATGCCCCAAATCAGACTGGAGACTGGAGGAGAAGGGATTGTGGCATGGCCATCCCTCCTGGGAGGTTATTTCCCACTTTCTGTCTCTCTCTCTCTGGTGAGCACACAGGCCCTATAGCAAACACTTCTCTAAAATAAATAAATAAATAAAAATCTCTGTTCTCTAGGGTCAATCTGCATAAAGTGAGCTTGGTCAATTCCCACAAAGTCCTGACTATTGGGAAAGTTGTCCTGTGTGACACCATGAAATCACTGTACGTGGCTTTATATTTGCTCAAAAGATAAAGATTATGCAAAAACAGATGTTAGAAGAATATACAAAGAAAAAAAAGATGTCAAAACAGATTAACTTTGATCTTCTCACTATTGACTATAGGTCCTGCAGACTTAGCTGCACCTAACAGCAGCAATCATTGGTGGTAGTAGGAGAGAAGAGATAGGGCAAGACAGTTGGAGGAGGCCAGCTATGGAATGTAGCTCTGCCTCTCTTTGCCTTTCTCCTGGCCCTTCACTATGGCTGCTACCCCAGATTGCATTTCTGAAGTCCACTGCTTTCTGCTGCGATAATGCTTCACAAGGCATTACCAGCTGAGTGAGTCTGAAGTAGAGAAGACAGACTCATAAACTGTGTAACTTGGCCAAGATGGGCACAAATCTTGGTTGTGATACTTGCTTACTGTGGCTTCAAGAAAATGTTATTTGTGAAAGGATCATTGTAATACCTATCCTATAGTACTCTCACGAGAACTAAATGCCATAGCCCATATAAAATTTCTAGGACCGTGCCTTGAATAGAGTAGGTCATCAGTAAATGGAATCCGTTGTATTTTCCTCCTGGTGACTGGCATATACATTTTTATCTGAGGCTCTGGAAGTTAAAATCTGCTTCAAGATTTGAGTAATTCTGTCATAGTATAATTTTAACTCTGTGTCAGATTTACTCATTAATTTGTTCAACAGGATTTATTGGTACACACTCTTGGCTGAGATGCAGAGGCATTTACTGTCCCCCATGTGGTTCCCAGTATTTCCTAGTTGCTTAGAGATAGACAGGGTTAGATGTTGACTTATGAGCAAGGCGGCTGGGAGTGGGGATGACATGTGTTAATTCTGGGCCAAGAATCAAAATGTATGGTGCATGACCTTGTATCTGTGTTTTTTCTTGCTATAGCAATCTCAAACTATGTCCTCCAGAAAGGCATAGCTGTAAGATAAAGGCAGCTTAGAGTCTGAATTATCATTTGGAAAGGATTAACCTTGGAAATAAACTGATTTTTGTATAAACAAGAAACAAATATTTTGTGATAAATGACAAAATTTTCTTTTTAAAAAAATTATTTAATTTTATTCATCATCATCATCATCATTTTTTTTAAAAAAATTGGAATAGAGAGAGATGGAAAATGAGAAAGCAAGCCACTAGGTCTGGGACTTGAACTGTGGTCAATCATGTGAAGTCTTGCACCTTAACCACCATGCCATCTGCCAGCCCAACAATCAAATTTTCAATTTTAGTCTTTACTACAGCATAGCTTAACCTAACCCAACATACTATGTAGGCATCGGGCCAGATGCTAGAGATTGAAAAACAAAACAAAACAGTCCCTGTATCAGGTCTGTCTCTGCTCTGAAAAGACAAAGGTCAGTAACTCACTGTCTATTAATGGACATGACTTAGAGAATAGCAGAAATCTTTTTCTGGGAAGAATTATCTGGGAATTTGGGAATATTCCCTTTTTAGCCTGTTATATTGTGAATAACAGAAATACCTAGGGATATTTTAAGAGACTAGAGTTTTATTTTTGTTTTTGTTTTTGTTTTTTTTCTTTTTTCCCCCCTTTGGAGAGCTTTTTGCTATAGGGTGCATGTGCTTGCCAGAAAGACAGAGAGAGACAGAGAAACAGAAAGAAAAATATCACCCTCCCGGAAGGATGGCCATGTCGCAATCCTTTCTCCTCCATTTTCCTCTCGGGACCTTGAACACACACACACATGCCCAATGTGAGTTTAAGCCACCAGGTCCGGGATTTGAATTGCAGTCAACTACATGGGAGTCCAGCAATATAGCCATTATGCCAACTGCTGGTCCCGAGACTAGAGTTTTTTTTTTGGCTCACAGTTTTGCAGGAAAGGTGAGAAGTCTGAGAGCATAGTGCTGGCATCTAGCGAGAGTCTTCTTGTGCCATCATGTTGTAACATGGCAGAGGGCAAGAGCACTGTCTCCATAGGGCTTTCTCTGTCTCTTTATAAACCAAACAGAATTCAGTTATGGGAGCTCATCCCAAAGGTCCACCTCTTAATTCCATAGTGAGATTAAGTTTCCATTCTCATTATCCCATTACAACAGTTAAGTTTCCAACACAAGAACTTTTGGAGGACATATTCAAACCATAGCAATTCCCATTGCCTTTGAATGATATCCCACAGATGACGTCCTATCCATCTCTTCCAACTCCCATTTATCTGTGGAATTAGGATATTACTATCTATTTTATAGGGATCTCGTGAGAATTTGTAAAATGCAGAATAGCATAGTGATTAAGAGTAAAGGCTTTCGGAGTTTTGCTTCTTGTTAGGAGGTAGACTAACACAAAACCATTTCTCCTTTGATCCTATTTCCATACTATTCTGCCCCGTTGATCTATTGTCTATATTTATACCAATGCCATCTTGTCTTGATTAGTTTTCTTGGACAGTTATCTATAGGCAGTTGGTCTATAGATTTAAGTTGACTCAATATTGGTCCCAAAAGACCTTCATTGGAGGAAATTTGGATGTACCTAGTTCCAAACAAGCTTGTTCCCTAAAGACACTATGCCAGCCCAATCATTTGAGAAATATTAACTTCTTTGCTTTCTAGAAGCATTAGCTCTACCACTGTGTTTTTCTGCCTGTGGCCAGGAAGCATGGTCAAAGTACTAAATACACCCCAAAAGGCAAAGGCTATACCTGTTGAATTTTCAGAACCCTTTCAAGTAAACACATACATACACATATATGTTTTTGCTAGAGGGTGTGTACACTTGCTAACTAGAGACAGAGAGATGAAGAGAGGGAGAGGAGAAAGTACCCTCCATGAGGCATGGTCATGGCACAATCCCTTCTTTCTATCTCTCCCTCCTTTTGGAGTTTTGGGCATGCATGCATATGTGCTCTATGCATTTTCTCAAGCCTCTGGATTCGGGACTCCAACTGCATGATTGGCCAATGTCATCTAGCAGCACTAGCCAAACCATGGAGCAAGCCCCAAGTGAATATATTTTGATCCATTTTTCTCCCAGAGGACACTCACAAATACACCACCAGGTAGTTCTAAAGCTTAACTTCCCCAGACTTGACCTTCTTTGTCTAGTATATTTGAATCAAAGTCTTATTTTTGCCAGTGTCCCCAGCTATCCCTTCTACCTGTCTCTACGTGACTCCTCTTGGTTGAGACTCTGGCCTTTTTTTTTTTTTTTTGAGAGGTTTTGGCTATAGGGCATGTGCACTCGCCAGACAGAGAGATCTTGGGCACACATGCACACGTGCCCAGCGGGAGTTTTTAAGCCACTGGGTCTGGGACTTGAACCATGGTTGACTACGTGGGAGTCCAGCGACATAGCCATTATGCTAACTGCTGGTCCCGAGACTCTGGCCTTTTAAACTCAGCCACCATGATGGCTCACAGTCTCTAGCCTCTGTTCTCACCCTATCTCCCACTTTATCTTCCCCCACCCACCCAGTTCCAGGCACACAGAAGACACCCAACAACAAACCTGATTCTAATGTCTTCTGGTATTCAGGGCAAGTGTCTAGAAGCAACTGGTCAAAGCCTGGCTCATTGCGAAATGTGGTGGAAAACTGCACCCATAGCTGATGAGTAAAGAAGTGGTTCAAGGCTATGAGTTAATCTTTCAATGAGAACAATGTCCAACTGGGAAGTCAATAGACAACTAGATCAGAGTGAGGGTAACTTTGAATTCAATTCCATTGGTGTTACAAATTGACCTCAAAATTAAGTGAAGTTCACTATAAAATTAAACTTCCAAAATAAATGAGTTGCTTTTTTATTCCCATGCTATATGTTGCCCTCTATTTATCAAAGATGGTTAGAGGAAGGGAGTGGTGACTTCAGGTAGAGAACTTTGAATTTTCCCATGTTGGAAAAGTAAGTGTTCATTTGGGGAGATGGAGAGGGCATGGGAGAGGAATAGCTATAGCCTGGGAGCCTGTGGGCAGGAGAACAGTGGGACTGAGGTCAGGCTGGTCAGAAAAGCATACTGCGTAGACCCTCTGTTCCTGGACAGACAGTCTAAACTAACATGGGAAACAGGGAATGAAGTAGGCCCTTTAAGGTTTAGAAGTACTGAAGCCACTTTGAAATTAAGAAAGGCCCTTGATGAAAACAATCTAACCAAATGGAGAGTTGTTTGAGGAATGGTCAGATAAGAAACCAGGAATGGGCAGGGATCAGCAGTTGGTGTAATGGCTATGTCCCTGGATTCTCCTGTAGTTGACCACAGTTTGAGTCCCAGACCCGGTAGCTTAAACTCATGCTGGGCGTGTGTGCATGCATGCCCAAGATCCCAAGAGGAGAATGAAGGAGAAGGGATTGCAATGTGGCCATCCCCCCTGGGGGGTGATTTCTCACTTTCTGTCTATCTTTCTGGCGAGCGCACGTGCCCTGTAGCAAAATCCTCTCCAATAATAATAATAATAAAATAAAAAAAGAAAGAAAAGAAACCAGGAATGGGTATTTGAAGAAAAACAGGAATCATGGTAATTGATTGAAGGAAAATGATTGACTTTGATTGTAGTGAGAAATGATTTGCACATGCTTATATCTAAAACTACTGAGCACATGTGGAGGTTTATGAGACAGTTTATCTGTCATTATTTCATCTATAGAAATAAACTCCCTTCTCCAGCCTCTGCCTCTTGTTTTACTGACTATGAGTAGAAGCCACCAGATTTAGTTTACCAGATACAGAAGGACCACTAATAACTTGTGAGTGGAGAAATGATTCAGTAATAGAGGATGGAATCTGAGAAAAGCTAACATAAAAGTGCATGGAAGAAAATAATTAATTTCTGAGGAACAGCCCTGTGGAGGTATAGTAAGTTATTAGTTAGTTGGTCCAGGTCCTTTCCTTTAGACTCATATCCCCGCTTTTGCCATGTCTTCTCAGTAACACAGCAACAGCTAATACTTACTAAGTGCCAAGTACATTACCTGCATTATTTTGTTTGATCCTCACAGCAGACATATGGGTAGATATAATTTTCCCTACTTTTCAGAAGAGAAAATGAAGTTAATTAACTTTCTCAAAGCCTTTCAGCAGCAGAGTAGAACTGGAATTTGAACCAAGCCTGGAGATACCACACAGTGGCCGGTGGAAATCCCATATTGTTCTGGTGACCATGGCAGTGGGATTAGCTGTCATAATTTGCAATGTAAGTAAAAAATAACAATTTTCCTGCTAATTTGTCAGACTCATTTAAAGCTTATTTTATATGAAGGGCTCTCAAAAAGTTCCTGGGAAATAAGTATCATGAAAAAATAATGCATAGATTTAAGTCTTTTTTCCCACCAGAATAAACTTGTACTTTAGTTCCATTTTTCCATGAACTTTTCAAAGTACTGGCATATTTGCTTTGAGGGTAATTGCTAACTGTTGTCTTGCCACAAGATGGTAGTACTACATCAAAAATGCTTTTCAAAGGTATAATCTGAGCTCTGGAATTTTTCCGTTTCTTCTTTTCTTCTCTCTTTCCTCCCTTTTGTAGAAAGTAAACTTTTGGTTACTTTATTTATATTATTTTTTAATAGCAATTTTCACTTGTCTACAATTGGCCCCTAGGCCATGCTCATGATCAGCTCTCATGTCACCTGGTCTTCTCACAGTCCCCTGACCTTCTGTAATCATTTTCTAGTCTTGGACCATATCTTTTCCTTGCAGAAGGCAATGCAGTGTGTTGTCAAATACAGACACTAGAGCTCTGATTTGTGACCACTGACAGACTGACATGTTAGTTTGACTTCTCTGTACCTCAGTATTCTCAGACTATGTCCCACACTCCAATGAGAAGTGAACGAGTTAATATTTACAAGGTGCTGGTGCAGACAGGACAGTGAAGATTCTCGTGGAAGAGTCTCAAGTTTGAGCTCTTTATCTCCTGGGGACACTTTGAATTGACCATTGCACTGAGCTGAAAAGCATCCTCTCTTCTAAGGTGATGCTTTAATATTACCTTCTAATGCTTTAGCATAAATTAATTAATCTCTACAGAAGGGTATGGGGCTATCGGTAGAGATATTTGAGGTGGAGGCTAGTAGCATTTCCTCAGTTTCAGAGAATGGGCCCATAGATAAGATTGGCCAAGTGTGCATCAGACATTGAGGTCCACCGGGCAACCCAGCAGGTTTGAAGGACATTTTAGAACATGGCTGTGAAGAGATGTTGGCTCTGTTAATCAGGTAATGGGTTACCTGTTGAACAACATGCCTGCTTAATTTGGGTGCAGAGAAATGACAGGTCATTTCTGAGTGTTCAGCAGATGTAGTAGATGTAGTTCCATGAGAAGAGAATCCCTTCTGGAGGAGAAGATGGAGGGCACTCGTGACCCTCCTTCTTTTTGCTGTCCAGCCTTCATGCAGCCATCTGGCTCCTTTGAAGTGATTTTGGAAGTTGGGCTGAGTCCTCAACTTTGCAGTGTGCACTTAAGTCTTTCAGGGTTAAAGATCCACTTGAGCCTTTGGAGCTGCTGTCAGGTTAATATTAACCTTGGGTTATTGAAACCTGAATCAAACAGTCATGGGCAGGGCTAAGTCAAACCAAGGGCATTTTGCATCTTTCTGCAGCCAGGGAGCTGCTTAGAGGCTACAAGCCCTTCGTGACTGCTGCATCATGGGTGAGGGCAATGGTGTAGAATGACTCACCGAGAGGAAGGAGGAGGATGTGCTGAGATCTGGTTATAGGTCAGTGGCTTTGCCATGGGTTTGTATTGTCTGTCTTTGCTTTCTAGAGTCCAGAGGTAGGAAGGAAAAGTGTCCCTCCAGCAGCTGTGGTTGCTATCTAGATCAGACTGGATTGGCAATAGGTGTCTCTGGATGTAAACGCGAGCAAGTTAGCAAGAGTAGGGCTTATAAACCTTTCTAAGATTGTGAAGAAAGTCAGATGCTGGGTATGGACAATAGGTCAGGACCCCAGAATCTACTGGGTGTCTGAGCTCATGAGTATGGGTGTCTACATGTGGAATGATTGGAGACCTTCTTGGAGATGCTTTGTATTCCTTGAGAGCTTTACGTCAAGTCAGGATCAAATGTAACTTGTATGTGAGTTAGATGGCAGGAGAAGGACAGCTGGAACAGGAGAGAGGCTTCCTTATATGGAGAAGGCATTATATGCTCCATGAAGTCGCCTGATGTTATGATATCCTCTGTGCTCAGGCACCTGGCAGCCTCGCTGCAGGGCAGTAGTAAGGTGAGTGAACAGCCCAGCATTGTGCGTGGCACCAGCACACTTTTAGTAGGTGGAAGCTAGTGCTACCCTTTTCTTTCTTTCTTTTTAAAATTTCCATAAGGCATATACACTTGACAGAGAGGGAGAGGATGA